TTTAATGTTTATTTATTTTTGAGACAGAGAGAGACAGAGCATGAATGGGGGAGGAGCAGAGAGAGAGGGAGACACAGAATCGGAAGCAGGCTCCAGGCTCTGAGCCATTAGCCCAGAGCCCGACGCGGGGCTCGAACTCACGAACCGTGAGATCGTGACCTGAGCTGAAGTTGGACGCCCAACCAACTGAGCCACCCAGGCGCCCCAACCGTGTTATAGTTTAAGTTTGTGTTTCTCCTACTGTGAGTGAGGTTGAGCATCTTTTCATGTGTCTAGCTATTTGTCTCCATTAGTACATTTTGAATGTCTTTGTAGGTGAATATTTTTAATCCAGGAATGGCAAAACATAACTTACTATCATAGCGTATCCTGTGTCCATGCAGACATTTCTAGATGATCGTATAATTTCCCCCACCTGCAACCAGAGCCGAGGTGGGCTTCTCAGCACAAGACTCCAGTAACCACCCTCAGTCCTTTAGAGTTCATGTGTAGACCGAGATCCATCTGACATCTCCCTTCTACCTGTTACTTCCTCTCACATACCTACATACTACGGTGTGATCTTCTCAGCCGTGGGGGCAGCCGGGTAGGGCCCAGGTCAGTCTCATCTGTTTACCCCGCTGCACCTTGTAAATATTTAACTTTTTTTTAATGGATGGCAAAATGGAGAATCTTGGGAAGCTCTCCCTTAAATAGTTGCCCCTCACGTTGTATGAAATTAAGTCAACGGCCAGAGACCTTCCACCATTCATTCGATACAGGATTACTGAAGAAGAGTTTGTGTTAATTTCTGGGAGAAAGAAAACAGGTGTTGAGAAAGTAAATGTCTATCTAACCAGAAAATCTTCTTGCTAGTATTTGTTTTGTCTTACGCCAGGGTTCAAACTAATACTAGATTTGCTTGCTTACTGGTAGATGGGCTAAATCCAAGGACCAAAGATGACACAGAAGAACCTTTGAAGTCAATGTAGACAATATCCCTAATTATACTAAAATTCCTATCTATGTAGATGGTTTGCCTCCTGAAATTTTATTTTTATTAATTATATTGTCTTCCATTTCCATGTTATATTTCTACTGCCTGCCCTCGTGTAATATAATCACAGCCCTATTTAGGTAGTAGAGAGCTGTCATGATTCACATTTTAGTGATAAGGAGGTTCACCTCAGGTGAGGTTAAAGGTATTGATTCAGTTTACAAAAGCTAACTGTATCTCCCTATTGAAAGCAGCCATCAGCAATGGTGGTCATTTTCAGGTTACAATGAGATTGAGTTGGAATCAAGAGCCAAATAGCTATTATATTTTTATTTATTTATTAATTTAATTTATTTATTTACTTATTTTTTAAAATGTTTATTCATTTTTAAGAGAGCGAGTGGGGGAGGGAAAGAGAGAGAAAGAGGGACACAGAATCTGAGGTAGGCTCCAGGCTCTGATCTGTCAGCACAGAGCCCAACATTTGGCTCGAGCTCACGAACCGTGAGATCATGACCTGAGCCACAGTGGGACGCTCAACCGACTGAGCCACCCAGGCGCCCTGCTACTGCGTTTTTATACTTGATCTTAGCCAAAAGGCCGAAAAGCGATGCCCTGCTATTGTATCTTTAAAACAAGTCCATGACTGCCTTTTCTTAAACTCACATTTTATAATTTAAATAACAATTCAGATTACTTATGGTTATGATTGAACTTGACTCTTTTCTAACTACTATTTTGACTCCTTAGACGAATTAATCTGTCTGTAAGTACTGATTATGAGTGTCTTCATATTTTAAACAATTTAAAAGATATTTCAATCATATTTATGCCATTTATTTCTTTTCTTAAAGAGTTATTAACATAGAAAAAGATAAACGCAGTCATTTCTACAACCAAAAATGTGACTTCAGAAACGAGCAGAATATGCTGGAAGAATTGGAAAATAAACTGATCAACAGCAGGAAAACAGAAAGTAAGTTGAGCTCATGATGAACTACAACCTGTTGAGTAACATCAAGCTGTAGTTGTTTTACTTTGCCTTTGTGCATTGACTGTGTTACATTCTCTACGAAAGTACTTTCTAGTTGGTAATGTCTGTCTTTTAGGGATGTGTATTTATTTTCTCAGGTCACTATTTGGTCATTCGAACTAGATTGTTTTCTGTGTGCGTTTCTTTCTATGTAATAGGAAAAAGAGGGTTTTGGTTTTGGGTGGCCAAACCAGTTAAACACCATTAAAATATCTTAAAATGAAGGGAAATGGGTTCCTTGGCTCTGATCTTTGCTCATCGCTCTGATACTGTCAACTGAGTAAGTAAACAGCAGCAGCCGCAGAAGCTGTTTGTAGCAGCGGTGTGCAGTGGGCAAGTTACACAGTTGCTTAAACCTGAGTTTACTTGTCTGTGGCAGAAAACCTACCATTTTGGCCTCAAGGTGCTGCCTGTGCGTCCAATAAGACAATATATGAGAAAGTGCACGGTAAATATATTCTGCTGTTTGTTATGAATATTAATCATTGTTAACTGTGTACTAAGTGTCCCCCTTAAAAGATTTTACAGGGGCGCCTGGGTGCTTCAGTTGGTTAAGTGTCCGACTTCAGCTCAGGTCATGATCTCACGGTTTGTGAGTTTGAGCCCCACGTCGGGCTCTGCTGACAGCTCAGAGCCTAGAGCCTGCTTCGCATTCTGTGTCTCCCTCCTTCTCTGCCCCTCCCCTGCTCTTACTCTGTCTCTGTCTCTCCCAAAAATAAACATTAAAAAAAAAAAAAAGGAATTCTACAAAAATATCTTTTGTTGTAGACTTTATATGTTGCAAAATCCTTACGTTCTAATAAAAAAAAAACTGCTTAGCATTGCATAAAGGAAAAAATGGTTATCAACTAAGCTTTATAAAATATTAACACTTATATGAAGAGTAGACTGCTTATGGTATTCCTTTACAGTCAATTAGAAGAAATTCTTAATAAATTTTTTCTTGCAGAATATAAGATTGCAGTGTTGTAAAAAGTCATCTTCTATCAGGTAGTAGCAAAAATCATTCTTCCTCCTCTGTTGGAATGATGGCAGGACCTAAGATAATTACCAAATGTTCAGTTCTCCTCTTTGATTCGTGGAGAAATCTAAGCATCCCTAATTTAATATTTCTTACTTTCTCTCTCAGTTCTTTTATAGACTGAGAGACTGATATTTTTGTGTCTTTTTTTTTTCAATTTTTTTTAATGTTTATTTATTTTTGAGAGAGACAGAGACAGAATGCGAGTGGGTTAGGGGCAGAGGGAGAGGGAGACACAGAATCTGGAGCAGGCTCCAGGCTCTGTGCTGTCAGCACAGAGCCCGATGCGGGGGCTCAAACTCACGAACTGGGAGATCATGACTTGAGCTGAAGTCGGACGCTCAACTGACTGAGCCACCCAGGCGCCCCTGATATTTCTGTCTCTTAATCATACCATTACTAGAGTGTCTCCATACTGTGCGTTTCCTTTTTTTTTGGGGGGGGGGGGGTAGGTTTCACATGTGGAGCCCAATGTGGGGCTTGAACTCACAGCCCTGAGATTAAGACCTGACCTGATATCAAGAGTCAGACGCTTAACTGACTAAGCCACCCAGGCACCCCTATGTGCATTCCGATTTTTAAGGCAACTTTATTTGTATCTTTTCATTTCCCATTGTTATACCATTTTTCCCTTCTTTATTTGCACTTTGGGCTTATCTAAGAGAGGAAGGAATGCATTACTTCAGTATAAGCATGTAGAAGTTTCTTCTTCCAATATTACAACTTAAAATACCTTTTCCTTGCCTGAGATATAACACCACAATTTTGGCCTGCATTTATATACTATTGTAATTAATGGTTTGCCCATACATAGTGTCAATTCCATAGTGAATAATTAAAAGATCATTTGCCCTGTGACAGTGTCATTGTAGTTGATCCAACTATGGCAAAAACAAAACAACTGAATGCTTTCCTAGTACCTACACTTTGATGGAAAAGTTACCCGACCTAGAGCTGCAACCATAAATGAATGAGACCCTATAAAATACACTGGATAAGTTTCTGATTTTATGGAACTCTTGGATTTTAGCAAAAAGTAGAAGAAACCAAAGTCACATATACACATGGTTTGTTTTAAACATTAGCACTGGCTCTGGTCCTATGGGTAAACTTTTAAAAAACTAATTGGGGGGCACCTGGATGGCTCAGTCGGTTAAGCAGCCGCTTTCGGCTCAGGTCATGTCTCACGGTTTGTGAGTTCAAGCCCCGCGTTGGGCTTTGTGCTGACTGAGTGGAGCCTGCTTGTGATTCTCTCTCTCTCCCTCTCTCTCTGCCCCTCCCCAACTTGTGCTTTCTCTCAAAATAAATAAATAAAGTATAAGTAAATAAATACATAAAAACCTAATTGGTTCTGAGGACTTTTGGACAGAGCTATTTGATGGTTCATGCTCATTTGTGGGAAAGTTGCAAGAAAGTAAAGGGGAAGCACATAAAATACCCAAAGATGATAAACAATAAATAATAATATGAATTATATGAACATATGTCTGTGAATATATATTAGCCTAATAATTTAAATAAACATTAAAGTAAGGTTATTACTTCAGAGCGAAAATACAAAAGATGAATCCAGTCTTTCTGCTGCTGCTACAGAACATCTAAAAATGTCTGTGAGACCTTCATCTGCTTCCCAGGCTTTTTTTGTGGGCCTAGTGAGTGACTCCAGGCTAGTCCTGTGGTTGAGGTGGGCAAACAGTAGCGTAAGTACCACTCCTTGGCTACTGGGCATCTCCTCAAGGTCATGGCTGGTGTCACTGTTACATCACATGTCTTATCAGCCCCTGTCTTGGAGGATGTGATTAGATGAAATTAATTCCCATTAGGAAGTTTGTCAGTGTTCGTAGAATTAATACTGGTTAGGCAGTTTTAATATGCCAACGATAGAGTTGAGATCAAATTCTATTTCCGTAAATTATAACAAATTCAAAAAGAAAGAAAAAACTTTTTAAAAACAAAACATGACCACATCTAAGCTACTGTTCTCTGTGTTCATGTGTTCAGAGCAGTGTCCAATCACTCAATCCCCAAAGAGTTAAAAAAAGAGAGAGAAGCAACACTTCCTTTTATGGTAAGATTTAACCCATGGTGCTTTTAAATACTGGAGGAGATTGGGAGACGCTTTATTTATTTGTTTGTTTATTTATTTGTTTAGAGTACTTAAAATGTTCAGGCTGTTTTGACACAAATAACCTCTTTTTGTCCATTATGTAATTGCTCTTGGCTGTCTTTTACTAAGTGATGGTGATCAGTCTTACAACCACCTCTGTCGGTAAAGTACATACTTCTTCCTTATAGGAGCAAAAATCCAGCAACAATTGGCCAAAATACATAACAATGTAAAGAAACTTCAGCATCAGTTAAAAGATGTGAAGCCTACACCTGACTGTAAGTAAATTTAGATTTTATGTTCTGTCTTTTGTATTAGTATTGCCTGATGCTTGTTAGAATTGTTTATACTTTCCTAATAAGCAGGTTTTCTGTTTGGCCTTAATGGAACTCAGCCCTACTTTATTGGTTAGGGATTAATAAAGATATATTAGGTAATTACTTCTAATATCTGCTGCTGATGTAATTGCTTTAAAATGCTATCACACCCTGGGGCGCCTGGTTGGCTCACTTGGTTAAGCGCTGGACTCTTGATTTCGGCTCAGGTCATGATCTCATACTTGCGGGATCGAACCCCGCATCGGGCTCTGCGCTGACAGTGTGGAGCCTACTTGAAATTCTCTCTCCCTCTCTTTCTGCCCCCTCCTGCTTTCTGTCTGTGTGTCTCAAAATAAATAAATAAACATTTAAAAAACATTTTAAAAATGCTATATATATCCTTAAAAATTATGAAGCAGATAGAACAGGTAATGTTGTCACCTACAGGATGAAACTTTTGGTTTGGAGGAGTTCAGACTCAGCTGACAAAGAGGAAAAAGACTAATTTCCTGATTTCTAAACCCAGTGCTTTTCCCATCATTTGCTTTTCGAAATAATTACCTTTCAAATAATTGCATTTAGAATACATAAGGAAGAGGTTAAGTAGTATTGGGGCAAATGTCAGCCATTTGGAAAAAATGAAACAGCGTCTTTACCTCCCTGCATACACCGACATTCATTCCTGAAGGATCAAATCCCTTATTCATTATGTGATTTTGGGCAGATTGCTTGATCTCTCTGAGCTTTCATTTCCTTAGCCGTAAAGCGGAGATAGTCATAGGACCTGACTCAGGAGTCTTTGGGAGATAGACTGACAGTGCATGTAAAACATTTGTTCAGTGTTTATAATCTAGGAAGCACTAATAAAAAAAAAAAAAGTAACTGTGACTCTCCTAATTATTATTTATTAAATTCATACATGAAGCCATAAAAATCCTAGAAGAGAATATGAGTTAATATTTTTATCATTGTATTCTAGTTTATAAGAATGACAATGAGAAGCCATAAAGACAAGAGTGGACGTACCTGACTACTTTACAAAAAAGCCCCAAACCATAAAGTTGAAAAACAAATTAGGAAAGTATCAGCAATACATATGTAACTTATAAAAAAACTAATTTCTGTAACATATAAAGAGTGCCGACAGGGGCACCTTGGTGGCTCAATTGGTTAAGTATCCAACTCTTGATTTTGGCTCAGGTCATGATCTCACAGTTGTGATATCGAGCCTCGTGTCTGGCTTCACGTTGAGCATGGAGACTGCTGAAGGTTCTCTCTCCTTCTCCCTCTGCCCCTCTCCCCTCCTTGAGCTCTCTCTTGCAAAGAAAAAAAAAAGAGTGCCCACAAATTGGAGCAACAAAGGTAAATAACCAAATAGAGTAGGGGGTAAAGATTATCAGGTGCTCGTTTATAACAAGAGAAATACAAAACACTTGTGAAAATACTGCTCAGGCTCATTAATAATCACAACAATGTCACTGAAATCAGTCACGATTGGTTTGGCCTCCCGTTTTGGAAACGGTTTGAGGTGCGCAGGAGGGGGCACTCAGGAACAGTAAGTCGGTAGAGCCTCCCAAGAGGACAGTGCGCCAGCGTCCTCCACACCATGAGGTGCGTATGCTGTTTTATTTGGCATTTCAGATTTCTCTGTTATCTGAAAACATCCAAGCATGCAAAATCAGTACACAAAAAAATATTTAGCATGGCATTGCATCTATCGAAAAGTTCATCGCTTGGAGAATTAATTAAATGAATTAGGGTAGATGTAGACAATGAAAGACTATGTAGCCATGAAAAGAATGAGGGGGACATATATATATACTGATATGGAAAGTTAGCCACATGTGTTTAAGCACATTTTGTTAAATAAAAACCGGTTGTCACAAGACAGCATGTGTAGTGTAAAACATTTCTATGGGAAAAATAATGATATTAAGGTTTAATAATATGTGTGTATAGGAATAAATTTATAGTCAGAAAAAAATTGCAGTCATAAACATTAGCTTCATAAAAGCGCAATTGTCTTATCCTTTAGGTTACAAAGCATTTTTAAGTTAAGGTGTGACATTCCCTTTTCTCCTAACATTTAATTCTTAGTCATATTAAAATATGACATAACAGGAGTGCCTGGGTGGCTCAGTCGGTTAAGCGTCCAACTTTGGCTCAGGTCATGTTCTCGCGGCTTGTGGGTTCGAGCCCCGCATCAGGCTCTGTGCTGACAGCTCAGAGCCTGGAGCCTGTTTTGGATTCTGTGTCTCCGTGTCTCCATGCCCCTCCCCTGCTTGCGCTCTGTCTCTGTCTCCTTCAAAATAAATAAACATTAAAAAAATTTTTTTTTCAAAGATATGACATAACAGTTTTTTCATATTTTTTTGTTTTTTTACAGTTGTTGAAAAGCTCAGAGAAATGATGGAAGAAATTGAAAATGCAATTAATACTTTCAAGGAAGAGCAGAGATTGATGTATGTTTCAAATTCATTTTAATATAAAATGATTGACGTTTATGTTTCACTGCCTCTCAATAGGTTGTTCACAAATCATTTTATTGTTCTGTATTTAATATTGGTCTTACACAAAAGCAGTATAACACCTCTCTTCTTTTGTTTTAGGTTTCAGACTGCTTTTTATGTTTAAACTGAATTTTCATTTATGTTCGGACAAGATAATGTCCCAAATAAGAATTTGAATGATGTTTTTTTGTTTTGTTTTGTTTTGTTTTATTCTGAGGAAACTCTTTTGAGGCTTATAATGTTAATAATTCTAAGTGGAGACGATGACACGGAAAGAGTCAGGAATAATGAAATTTGAGGGCGGAAAAGGAAAGGTTCATATGGATTGGTTTGTATCTTATTATTGACAATTTACCTTTAAAATTGTAGGTATGAAGAGCTTATTAAAGAAGAGAAAACAACCAATAATGAGCTGAGTGCCATATCAAGAAAAATCGACACCTGGGCTTTGGGTCATTCAGGAACAGAACGTGCTTGCAGAGCAGCGTCAGGCAAGGTTCCTGTAGACAAAATGACGCCAGGCACCCTTCCGGAAGAAGTGGTAGATTTTGAAAACTTCCTTCAGCAGACAGGAGGGCGACAGGGGGGCTGGGACGACTATGAGCACCAGAACTTTGTAAAGGTGAGAAACAAACATAAAGGGAAGCCGGCGTTTATGGGAGAGGTTCTCGAAAACCTTCCTGCAAGAACACAGGATGAAGTTCAGCAGCATGAGAAATGGTATCAAACCTTTCTGGCCCTGGAAGAAAGAAAAAAAGAGGTAAGAATCATTACAAGAGCTGTCATCTGTTGTATGTTTCTGTCTTCTAGGCACTGTGCTACGTAAACTCTTTGACACTGTCTAGTCGTTAATGTTACAGCCTTTCCGGGAAGTGTGTTTAGAGTCCCCTCCCCCCACTCTTTTCAAAGAGAAACGGAGGCCGCGAGAAGGTAAACATTTTACCCCTCCAGTGAAGTACAGTTGTATTTCCTCAAGGCCAGACACTTCTACCCCAAGAAATAAAACAGCGGTCCAGAAAACTTCTGACTGTGGGCAGAACCCTCTGTGTGCACCTGAAATGTGGGAAATCCAGAGCTCTTTTAGGCTTTTGGTAGAAGTCATCTTACCACCAAGGCCAGATTGTTGTCAATAGAAAATAAAGAGGCAGTAGGAAAAAAAAGTGTCTTTGATTCTTAAAAGTTTCTTTGAGTTTTGGAGCTTAAGCCTCATTGCCTATTTTACTTTACTTTACTTTACTTTACTTTACTTTACTTTACTTTACTTTACTTTACTTTACTTTACTTTACTTTATTTTACTTTATTTTATTTTATTTTACTGTTTTAGATAGAGAATATGAGCAGGGGAGAGGGGCAGAGAGAGGGAAAGAGAGAGAGAGAATCCTAAGCTGCCTTCCACACTCAGTGCAGGGCCCAACGTGGGGTCAGTCTCCTAAACCATGAAATCATGACCTGAGCTGAAATCAAGACTTGGACGAGCCACCCAGGCGTCCCCTCATTGCTTATTTTAAAAGACTCAAAAGTTTGGCTACCCAGAGGAAAGGGTAACTCTTAATGGTAGCAAATACCTGACAAGTTGCATTTTCACAATAATATTATTTTGGCTTTGGTTTAAATCAGGACTTCTCAATCTTGGCACTGTTACTATTTGGGCTGGAGAATTCGTTGTCCTGTGCGTTGTAGATTGTTGGCAGAATCCGTGGCCTCCACCCTCAAGGTTCCATTAACACTCCCTTAGTTGTGATCATCAAAAATGTCTCCAGACATTGCCAAATGCCCACTGGAGGGCAAAAATTGCCCCTGGTTGATGGTCGAGGTCTGAGTCACTTTTTTGTGGACTTCAGCTATAATAAACATCATCTAGGTTGGTTGGACAGCAAAGGTATGACTGTTCAACAGATGACATACCTAAGGAGCATTAAAGAAATGTTGATTCCATGTTTAAAGTTGTTTTTTTTTTTTAATGTTTATTCTTGAGAGAAAGAGAGAGAGAGAGAGTGAGAGCAGGGGAGGGGCAGAGAGACAGAGGGAGACACAGAATCTGAAGCAGGTTCCAGGCTCCCAGCTGTCAGCACAGAGCCCGACGTGGGGCCTTTGGGGTCGAACCCAGGAACTGGGAGATCATGACCTGAGCCTAAGTCAGATGTGCTTAATGGACTTAGCCACCCAGGCGCCCCTACATGCTGTTAATTTAAAATCTTAAAAGGGGCTTGGGTGGTTCATTCGGTTAAGCATCTGACTTCGGCTCAGGTCATGATCTCAAGGTTTATGAGTTCGAGCCCTGCATTGAGCTCTCTGCTATCAGCATGGAGCTCTCTTCAGATCCTCTGTCCCCCTCTCTCTGCTCCTCCCGTTCTTCCTGTCTTTCTCTCTCTCTCTCAAAAATAGATAAACATAAAAAAAATAGCTTTTAAAAATAAAACCCTAGGGAAAATAACTGGGGTTCATTGTTGTGTTTTTTTCCTTCAAAATAAGTTGAATGTAGGAAAATTGATATTTGGGACTTTAAGAAAATTTTTTTGAAACCAGTCTTTTTTAAAAATTTGTTTTAAGAGAGAGAGCACATGTGCAAACATGGGAGAGGAGCAAAGAGGGAGAGAGAGAATCCCCAAGCAGGCTCTGTGCTGTCAGCACAGAGCCCAATGAAGGGCTCAATCTCACAAACTGAGATCCTGACCTAAACCGAGATCAGGAGACTCTTAACCGACTGAGACACCCAGGCGCCCCTGAAACAAGCCATTTTAAAAACCTCAAAATAACAAGCTATTAAAAATTATTTGGGCCTTTTTCCCAGGATACTGAAAACATGGGGTCCCTGGACCAGCAAAATGGTCCATGGACCAGCAAAGTCAGCGTTACCTGGGGACTTGTTAGAACTCATAGGGCCCCAACCCTAGACCTAATCTGAACTCGGGGTGTGGGACCAGCAGTCTGTGTTGTCACAAGGCCACTTGGCTGTGCTGTTACGAGCTAACATTTGAGAGCCATCTCTCCAGGGAAGGGAGCAGACACAGTGCTTCTTGTCATAAAGGTAAACCACCTGGATTCTAGCTGGCTCTTCTTCCCAGCCGCTCTGTATCCTGGTGTTTGGTGACAGCCTGAATGTAGGAGTGAGGCGGGTGGAGTATGCAAGTTGAGGGGCCATTTACTGAAGTAGGACATGGTGGAGGAGAAGAGAGAAGCTTGGGGGAGAGCGTCAGGAATGTAGTTTAAACTCTGCTGAGTTTAAGATGATCCATTTGTTTCTCCCACGTCCCTTCACATGTCCCGTGTTTTGCCCCAATGAAGATACTTACTTTGACGTGCCCTGAACCTTCTGGCCTGAGTACCCTTGTTTGTCCTATTCTCTCTTTCTAGACCCTCCCTTCTTTGTTTTCCCCTCCACCGCCAGCCTCTCAAAACCCGCCCAGATCAGGTGTTACTTCCCGCTTGCCCACTCACACACAGGAGGCCCCCTCAGGATCCACAGACACCTCGTGTATACCTCTTTTAGGATGTGCAAGGGCATGTTCTGTGTTCTGGTGTGTTTGCACCTACCTCATCTAGAGCAGTGCTTGATCCAGGGACTGGCTGCGTTTGTAAAGCGTTAACTGGTTTCCAGTAGGATAAAGCGATTGCACTAGAACCGTCTACTCAGTAAGCATACTGTTTGGTTCAGTTCCCTTTTTTTCCAAAGAAAACTTTCTTGTTGAAGAAAGCAATGCATTGATCTACATTCTGGCATGAATTCCCGATACGTTTGTGGGCCTGCACTTTGAGTAACTATGTACAAAGTGGCATTTGCTATTGTTTTAATCGTCCATGGCTCCGATCACTTTGCCTCGCGTATGGTACATATACCACAGGGATTTATTTAATGAATGAGTGATACACCATGAGAAAAGATGAAGAAATGGTTTCCTGACTTGAGGGCAAAAAATTCAGTAGATGTATCTTTTATGGCTGCCAGAAGGCCGCTAGAATTTTCAATAATATTTATGTACCCATATGTAATGCAGTGAAGCGATTTTACTTTTTTTCTTCACACCTCTGAATCATTATGTGCCAGGCACTGACTCACTTCATCTTCATGACAACCCTATTTACAACAGGAGCAACACGAGGACAGAGAAGTTTAGTGACTCATCCAAGTTCACACCTACTAAATGGCAGAACCAGGGTTTGGTCCCAAATAGCCTGGCTTCAGACCTCATGCTCTCAACCAGCCCATTTTTATTTTTATTTTTTTTATAAAGTTTATTAATTTATTACTTGTGAGAGACAGGGAGACACAGAATCCAAAGCAGGCTCCAGGCTCTGAGGTGTCAGCACAGAGCCTGATGCAGGGTTCGAACCCATGAACCATGAGATCATGACCTGAGCCGAAGTCAGATGCTCAACCAACTGAGCCACCAGGTGCCCCTCAACCAGCCCTTTTTTAATTCCTCTTCTGATATTTGACCAGAGAAAGGTCACTCAGAAAGTATTCCAAGCCTAGAAAGAGGATTTGGAAACAGAGCAAGATAATTGGAGGAAACAGATGTTCCCCATGAACACACAAGCAAAGGAGGTAAAGGAGAGAAGGATACCTGATGAGGTACAGTCCATGTGAACCTGGGGATTCAGACAGGAGGAGGAAGGCCAAAAGGATAAACCACTATTCACTGTTCAAAAGATACATTCATTTTTTATAAAACATAAGTAGAAAATTGCATTTGCACAGGGGAAAAAAAAAAGCTTTAAAACCTAAGGAAACGGCATTCTGCAATCAATATTCTTTCTAGAAAGATGGATTTGACGTTGCATTTTTTTTAAAGTTTATTTATTTATTTTGAGAGAGAGAGCCAGCATGAGCAGGGAAGGGGCAGAGAGAGAGGGAGAGAGAGAATGCCAAGCAGGCTCTGCTGTGTCAGCACAGAGCCCGATGTGGGGCTCAATCTCACAACCGTGAGATCATGACCTGAGTTCACATCAAGAGTTGGACGCTTAACCGACTGAGCCACCCAGGCTCCCTGAGGTTGCATTTTAAAGTGCTCTTGGTTAGAGGTGCCTGGGTGGCTCAGTCGGTTAAGCATCCGCCTTCGGCTCAGGTCATGATCTCGCAGTTGGTGAGCTTGAGACCCACATCAGGCTCTGTGCTGACAGCTCGAATCCTGGAGTCTACTCCAGAATCTGCCTGTCTCTCTCTCTCTCTCTCTCTTTCTCTCTCTCTTTGCTCCTGCTCTCTCAAAAATAAATGTTAAAAAAATTTTTTTTAAAGCGTGCTCTTGGTTATTAAAAAAGTTTTTCTCTTGCTATCTTTTTTAAATCACTTAGTCTATTCAGAACTGGAAAACCAAAAAGCAGCAAAAGAAGGAGGAAATTTTTAAGTTAAAGGAAAAGGCAGAGAACATATCTCTGCTCTTTCACAATAAAAAAGATAATCAAAAGCGAAAAGAGGAACAAAGAAAGAAGCAGAAATTGGCAGTCGAAGCTTGGAAAAAGCAGAAAAGTATAGAAATGTCAGTGAGACGTGCCTCCCAGGTGAAAGAAGAAGAGGAAGAGAAAGAGAAGAAGCGACAGAAAGAGCACCAGCGCCAGTTTAAACTAAAATTACTACTGGAAAGTTACACCCAGCAGAAGAAGGAACAGGAAGAATTTCTGAGACTGGAAAAGGAGATTAGGGAAAAGACGGAAAAGGCAGAAAAAAGGAAAATGGCTGCTGAGGAGATTTCCAGGTTTCAAGAGAGAGTAAGTAAATAGGGTTCCTGAATCCGGTTTCTTTTTTTTTTTTTTTTTTTTTTTTTTTTTTTTTTAAGTGTATTTATTTATTTTGAGGGGCAGAGGGAGAGGGAGAGAGAACACATGCGTGAGAGCAGGGGAGTGGCAGAGAGAGGAGGAGAGAGAATCCTAAGCAGGCTCCACGCCCCGCACGGAGCTCTACACAGGGCTCGATCCCACGAACCGTGGGATCACGACCTGAGCCGAAATCAAGAGTCGGACGATCAACCGACTGAGCCACCCAGGTGGCCTCCTGGATCTTTGATGCTGCACGTAGAGGTGTTACTTCCAGATTGAGGTCAGCGAATATTGAGTGCTTCTCATGTGCCAGGCCCGTACCCAGCATTCACATAAGCCAAATGAGAAAGCCGTGCTCCCTAATTTGTAGCAATTATAGTCTCGTGGGAAAGGGAGACGTTCAAGTGGGAGGCTGCAGCGGAAGGGGGTTAATTCCAATACGTGGGGTTTATTAGGAGAGAGCAGAGTGCGGTGCTGGAGGTGTGGCCTGGGCACTTGAGGCGTTAGATAGGCAGCAAGGGAAGCATTCGTAGCTGTGTCAGACCGAAGGTGATGCTGCAGTGGAGTCTTGAAAGAGAAGAAAGGGGGGATCCTTCCTGGTAGAGGGAACAGCATCAATGCTGCTTTGAAACAAATTCCGATCAACTTTTGTTTTCTTGATGTTATCCTTTTGTTGGTGTGTATTTTTTAGGATTTACATAAACTTGAACTGAAAATTCTAGACAGACAGTCAAAGGAAGAGGAAAAGGCAGAAAAACAAAGAAGACTGGCAAAATTAAAAGAAAAGGTACTGCCTGCTGAGATTTCTTTATTTTTATTGTCACTGTCCTGATTGCTTGATTGGTAAGGATACAAGCATAAAATCTATTTCCTTTAAAAACAATTATTTATTTTGAGAGAAAAAGAGATAGAGTGTGAGTGGGGGAGGGGCAGGGGGAGAGAGAATCCCAAGCACGTTCTGCGCTGTCAGTGCAGAGCCTGACATGGGGCTCGATCCCACGAACTGTAACATTCTGACCTGAGCCGAATCGAGAGTCAGATGCTCAACCGACTGAGCCACCCAGTGACCCTAAAATCCATTTTCTTTATATTCAGTGCTCCATTTCTGTATCATTTCCTCTAAATTTCATACTTATGTATTTACATGTTACAAAGCACAGCTTAGCACAACTTAGGCAACTGTTTGAATTCTGCCATTTCACATTATAAGCACCTTCTTTTATTTTTTTTTAATTTTTAAAAAAAAATTTTATTTATGTTTTAGAGAGAGGGAGACAAAGTGTGAGCAGGGGAGGAGCAGAGAGAGAGGGCACAGAATCCAAAGCAGGCTCCAGGCTCTGAGCTGTCAGCACAGAGCCCGACACGGGGCTCGAACTCACGAACCATGAGATCGTGACCTGAGCTAAAGTCGGACGCTTAACTGACTGAGCCACCCAGGCACCCCAGAAGCATGTTATTTTCTTTACCCTGAATTAGTTCTCTCTTCCTACTCTTCATTCTGTTTTTCTTATTTTCTGTATATGCCTCTATTTTAGACCAAGTGAGCTAGGCGCATGGCTTAATCTCCCTGGTAGGACTCAGAACCACAGATGTTGGTGACTCTCATGGGTAAAATCAAGAACTTCTGGTGGTTATTTGTCCTAAAGTTACTGTCTGCCTATCCCACTATCACACTTGGCTACCTTACATTTCCCTCAGGTTACAAACAGAAAAACTAGAACAACAATGGAAACAGAATAAAATCATTGAATTAGAAAAAAATAAACTAAATTAACAGTTTATTAATAGATTGATGTAGTCCAGATTTTGTGTTAGCTCTAGAAGCACAATGAGAAGTTTACTGAAAAGGGGGTGCCTGGGTGGCTCGGTTTGTTAAGCTTCCGACTCTTGATTTTGGCTCAGGGTCATGATCTCATGGTTTCATGAATTCAAGTCCCGCATTGGGCTTGTGCTGACAGCTCGGAGCCTGCTTATGATTCTCTTTCTCTCTCTTTCTCTCTCTCTGTCTCTCTCTCTCACTGTGCACCCCCCATCCTGTTTCTGTCTCACAAATAAATAAATAAGCTTTAAAAAAAATAAATAAAATTTTAAAAACAAGTTTATGGTGAAAAGGTTACTAACAGTTTTATTTCTGTTTGGCTAATATTGAGGATGCTTCTTAAAACTGCTTACTGTTACTAGGGATCTCATCCACTAGTCCAAACTAGTTTGTATAAATAGTTTATATAAATCAACTGGCATTCATTTTATTTCTGATTATAGGTTGAAAACAACGTTAGTAGAGATCCCTCTAGGCTTTACAGACCTACCAAAGGTTGGGAGGAAAGGACCAAAAAGACAGGACCCACAGGCTCTGGGCCGCTTCTGCAGATTCCACACAGGTAAAAAAGGAGTGAGAGTGGCTGTCCCCTTTATAATAATTTGATAACTACATGTTTATATTTTATGCAATTTCTGTATGCTACATTTTACAGCAAAAAGTTGATCAAGTAAATCCTTATACTTTTTTTAAGTTAGTATTTAATTAGTTAGGATTTTTTTTTTTTTTTTAATTTCCTTTGTGTTTATAATTGCCCTTCTTCTTTTTAGGGCCATCCCAACCTGGAGACAAGGAATTGAGAAAAGAATATGAGATAATGAAGTTGATACTCAGTTGATGAGAATGTCAACATACTCAGTCATACCAGGAGAGAGTCACTAACCATGTTCTTTCAATAGCCCTAAACCCAGTCAGAGTGATAATTGTGTTGTATGTGAACCGATAGGTATTGAGTTTCATGCGGCGTTGTCGTATTTCCTGTTTATACTAAGAGGGTATTTCATGGGTATGCTGGCCTGTTACTGATGTAAAAGTTTCCCCGAATAAGTTGATGTTACAAACATTGCTTCATTTTAATACTCGGAACATTTCAAAGATTCTTTGTTTTTGTCATGGCATAGCAAAATAAACTGGGACAATCATAGGGGAACATTTTTTTTTAAACAAAAATTTTGTAACATTTATAACTTGGAGATGAATCAGCTTAAGTAAGAAAAATGTAAAGGTTTTCCTTTTTTTTTTTTTTTTTTGGAAATAAGTTGGTACTTTTCTAAGTTTAACAAATTGGCCGTTTGTTCAGTTACTACATTTTTGTGTAATAAACATTTTGTATTTGTTTGAAGCATGCTTTGTTTTATAGAGAATATTTATTAAAAAAAAATATGCCTCCCCTCATATATAACCCGTTATTTGTATTCTCAATATCTTTTTGGTTTCCTTTAGCTATTCCAAATTTGCCTAAAGGGGAAAAAAGCCTTTCTGGACTTCACACATTTATAAAACCTTTGTGTCTTTCACATCTTCCTGGCTGGTGCAGTTTTTTTTACTGCTTCTGTTTGGCTCAAAATATTTGGTGAAAAGATTGAATTTTAACATTTCCAAATTTATGTGCATGAAAACACAACTTAGTTTGACTCAACTTTTCATATTATAAAATCTTAGTTCCTACTTTTAATCAGTTCCTATCATATAGGAATGGTACCATGTCCATGGTAAATGTAGGAAACTCATTGCTTTTAATTTTTCTCTTCGAATATCTTTTTTTTTAAGTTTATTTATTTATTTTGAGGGAGACAGAGCATGAGTAGGGGAGGGGCAGAGAGAGGGGGATAGAGAATCTCAAGTAGGCTCTGCGCTGTACTGTGCAGAGCCCAATGCTGGGCTTGAACACACGAAACCGAGAGATCATGACCTGAGCTGAAATCAAGAGTCAGCCACTCAACCGACTGAGCCACCCAGGCGCTCCTCTTAGAATATCTTTAATTGTAATTTGACATATCTAGGTCATTTGACCTAGAAATTTACTATTAATAGTGGCCAAAACCTTGTCTTATCTCACAGTTAATAGTCAAAGTAGATGACATCCAAATTTTGGAGACTGAATTCTGATTACACAATTATTGCTGCAAAATGAGAGAAATAACATAAAATATCCTTAATCAGGAATGCCTGTTTTATTTGTAGTCTTTGTTCTCTAGAACTCTTTTTATTAAATGATTGGAGGCAGTTTAGAAATAAAATATAGACGTGGACAACGGATTTTAAAAACAGAATGGAACTACTACAAGATACCCAAAAGGAAGGTTTCTTATGTATGGTTTTTGAACATGTTGCTTTTTGTTGCACACAAAGGCAGCTCTCCATTTCCTGCATCTAAGGGAAGCATACCAGGTCCTGTGATTCTTATGGCTTTTTGTCTGTTTTTTGGTTTGTTTCTTAATAAAAATATGGGATTTTCTTTGACAAAACCAGTGCTTCTGAGTCTAAAATAAGTGATGGATTTATTATATGGTTCCTTTGTATAAAGGATGTAGAATAAACAATATCTCAGTTACAGGCTCATAGAAGGGCAAAATAAACATTTCTTATACTGGTTTAAAAAAGATAGGAATAAGAAATTTAGAAAAAACCCTAAAGGGAAAATATTAATAAAGCACCCATAATTCTACCACTCCAGGGTAACTTTTTCCAAAAATATACCTGCATATCTTAAAGTAGCTACAAAGAGGGGCACCTGGGTGGTTCAGTCAGTTAAGTGTCCGACTCTTGATTTGGGCTCAGGTCGTGATCTCACACTTTCTGAGCTTGAGCCCTGCATCAGGGTCTGCGCTGGCAGCATGGAGCCTGCTTGGGATTCTCTCTCTCCCTCTCTCTCTGCCTTTCTGCTGTGTGCACTCTTTCTCTCTCCTCAAAATAAACTCTAAAGTAAAATAACTAGAGTACATTTTATTTACTATACTAAATTACTTAACATTATGTTACACATACTTTTCTGTTTCTATATATTTCCAACATTATTATTTAATGGCTGAACAATGTTCCATTATATAGATGTTGTATCATTCCTATACTTTGAAAACTTGAGCTAATTATACTTCTTACCTAATCATGTAAAGTGGCATTTTACATGGGGGTTAGATTCTGTCATGCATGTGTCAGCAACTTGTGTGGTCAAAATCACCCCTCAAAAGCCCTTTCTGTACCTAGTAGGCATATGATATTATTCTCAGTGAGTCCGCCCTCTCTGAATTGGATGAGATTGCTGGTTCTTGAGCTGAGAATCAAATGAAATATTTGGGTTCCCATTAAGGGCCCGGTTGAGTAGGATCATCTTTCAGAGCATTTATAGACTGCATTGTTCGTTCTAGTTAAATGTGTGTGATATGACTCCATTTTGAACATCTTCAGACATGTTTGTAAGTATGAGAAAAAGATCTCAACTGTAATCACCAAATGAAAACTCCTCTCTGCTGGGCATACCTGGAAACCAAGCAACGTGGCCTATTTGTAAGGAGGCACCCAGAACAGCCCTCTGCCCATACCCAGCCCTTTGTTAATGCAGTTTGTCAGTGAATAAGTAATTACTAGGGCCTAAAATTAGGTGCTTTGGGTTATTGAGTAAGTAGAAGACAATTCCTGCCCACGCAGTACTTATTTTAAGTAGTAGATTTTCTAAGAAAGTGAACAATCAAAATTATATTCAAACTTCTCTTGCTTAGTTGACTGTAAAGAACCTGGGTTCAGGCCTGTCCTTTGGGTGGATTTTTTTTCCCCCAAAGACTGCCTCATGAACTTTTTTTTTTATTATTTTTTTTTAATATTTATTTTTGAGACAGAGAGAGAGAGAGAGCATGAACGGGGGAGGGTCAGAGAGAAGGAGACACAGAATCTGAAGCAGGCTCCAGGCTCTGAGCTGTCAGCACAGAGCCTGAGACGGGGCTGGAACTCGCTGGAACTCACAGACCGCGAGACGCGGGTCTAGAATTCACAGAGCATGAGATCATGACCTGAGCCGAAGTCGGAAGCTCAACCGACTAAGCCACCCAGGCGCCCCTTGCCTCATGAACTTTTAAAGGGAATAATATATGATAGAAGCAAATTAAGATCCTCTTTAAAAAAAAAAAAATAGCATCTTATTTCATTTTGTAACATACGGGTAGTTGAACATTTTGTGCTATGGCAAATGGACGAAACATTGCTACTAGATGACACACTGACTCAAGCATGAAGAGTAAAATCTTTTTAAGACTTGCAAAAGAGAGGCATCTGGATGGCTCAGTCCGTTAAGCCTCAGACTTTGGTTCAAGTCATGATCTCACCGTTTGTGAGTTTGAGCCCTGCTTGGGGGCTCAGTGCTGACAGCTCAGAGCCTGGAGCCTGCTTCAGATTCTGTGTCTCCCTCTCTCTCTGCCCCTCCCTTCCTTGTGCTCTCCCTTTCTTTCTCAAAAATAAACATTTAAAAAAAAAAAAAAAGACTTGAAGCACACACTTAGGAATATGTATCTTCTGTGTATATTGCATTTGTGTGTGTGTGTGTGTGTGTGTGTGTGTGTGTGTGTGTGTATATATATTTTAAAGTGATTCCTGGTATTCTAGAGAGGACTAGGAACGTCTCTGAACCTTTGAAGCGTCTATGTTTAAAACACATTTATCTCCACAGATGGATTTGAAGGTTTAGTTTCCCTACACATTCAGCTTAAAACTGTGACCTTCCAAAAAGGTGTGTTGGCAAATTTATTCTGATCCATCCGTTTTCATATATACCACCCTTTAGGGCCGTGATTTTCTCAAAGCAAACTAGGAGCTTTGGATCTTGCACTTCCTCCCAATTATCGAGGATACAAGTTCTGGAAGGATTTGTGGGCTGAATTTTACAAGGCTTAAGAGGGGTCCCCAATCCTGTAGGGCTCGGAAGAGAAAAGGTTGAGTCTAGAGAGAAATCAGGGATTAAAGTGCTGCGAAAGACCGTCAACAGCGAGGAAGTTCAACCACAGACCGAGTCAGCTCCCCGCCCCCGGCGCTCGCCCCATCCCCACGCTCCAGCCGCGAGTCGCCCCTCGGGCTTCCTTCACGGCGCTCGCCAACTGCTTCCGGGTCGCGGCGGACGTCGCTTCCGCAGCAGCATGGCGGCCACGGAGGACGAGCGTCCGGCGGGGAGCGGTGAGGGAGAGCGGCTGGATTTCCTGCGAGACCGGCACGTGCGGTTCTTCCAGCGCTGCCTCCAGGTCTTGCCTGAGCGTTATTCTTCGCTCGAGACCAGCAGGTGATTGGTGGCCGTGGTCATCGGCGTGGGGACGGAGCCCGGCCGCAGCGGAAAGGCGCCGTGGAGCCTGCGCCGCCGCCCACCCGGCACTGCCCGGTGCCTCTCCTCTCGGGCGGGTGTGCCGTGGCTCTCCTCCCGCGAGCTACGGCGGGGGGACTGGGGGAGCCGTAAGGCCAGGCCTTGTGGGATCTCCATTTTCCGCCTTTTTTCACTTCCCAACCATTTTTCCGGTCAACTCTGAGCTTCCTTTTTTACTTCCTCTCGTAGGCTGTGAATCGCTTGGCCTCATTACTTCCGAGTGTAAAAGGGAAAAGACAAACCATTTTGTCTCCTTATTTTAGATAGCCTGTCCTGTGCTCCCCTTTCCTGCAAAACGTTATTAACTCTGCACTGAACATCTGTATGGTGTTTGAGGTGTAGGAGCGGCGCAAAGCCTGTAAAGGTTTGAGGAGAAATGAACTTTCCAGGAATTGTAAATAGAAAGATAGGAGAAGGTTGGCGGAAGAGGTGCAGGTTCCGTAAAGCAGGCTGTGAAAAGTGTATCTGCTGT